CCCCAAAACCCCAAAACCCCATGAAGCTATCAAATATAAGTTTTTACTGTTAATTAATCATAGATATTTATCTGAAAATTAGAAATTAACAATTAATTGTGTTTATTTTGAAATAATTAATTTTAAGTCTTCTAAGGTTAATAATGAACAAATAAAGTTAAATTAAAGCAACCATAGACATCTTCAACGATAACTCGCTGCCAAATTTGAAGTAATCTCAACTTTCAAAGACGTAGTCCTAAGGTAACTTCAATGTTAGCAAACTATCTACTCAACTGAATACTAAAGACATCTTTACCCGAGGCAATAGAAACCATATCAAGGGAGGGAACAATTTCTCTATGAAGAATACAATGTCTAAGGTTACTAATGATACAACTATGCCAGAATATTCGAATGAGTTCTCAAGTGCAGTGGATAATCTTCCTTCTATCGATAATGGTCGAAGTAAATAATAAAATCTGTTTCTTAGCAAAATAAATACTACCAAGAATACAACAAATATGCTTAACTCCTTCAAAACTCAATAACCCTTTTTAGCCAAAGATCCTAAATAAAAAACTTTTTGATCCACTGTCAGAGTACAAATTGAATAATCTGGTGAAAGCATTATACAGAACCCTACTCGTGAAACAGCAGTCCCTGATGTCAATGTTGATATTCAAAATACTAGTTAGTTTATGAATGTAGATAAAAGATCAATTATTTAAAGAGGCTCTATAATGTCTTAAATAAATAAATAATCTTCAACCAATTTGATTGTCGAAAACGATCGAGCAAATCCAAAGAAAAAGGTTAGAATGAGTGTTGTTATTGACCAACAAATGTAATTTAACAACCAACTATCGAAAATTTAGAGTCAAAAGTCATTAATGTAGCAAGATGGAAGTGTGAGGATTTTGGGTGATCATAAATCTAAGACTATTAGGAATTTAGAAATTGATAAGCAATCAAAATAGTCGTCATAAATTGTATCTCCCCTTTCTAGGAAATACAATGTGAGACACCAATCGATGCAAGGAGAATTAAAATCTTAGGAGGAATCAGACAACAGCAGTATAGCTGAGGAGGGTGAGCAAGACGGGAAAAATAAAAAAACTTTTAAGCATATGACGACAATTAAGGCTAAGAAAAGTATTTCTGCACTAGATCAAATGGCAGCAATCTTTAGTAAACCCTTGGATGAGAGAGAAAAAGCTGACAAAGATAAGATTGTGCAGTTTCTAAGAAATTGCGTACCTTTTCTAGCAAATATTCAATTACCATTGCTCTATTTATTGTCTGATAAACTTGAGCCACTTACCTTAAAGCAAGGTGATATAAGTAAGATTTAAATATTATGTAAAGAAATCAATAGTTATGAGAAAGGGTGATGAAGCTGACTGTATGTATATTATTTACGCTGGAGAAGTTGGAATATTTTTTGATGTGGACTGTGCAACTCCAATGTTTTCATCATGTAAGCCAAACCAGGTCTTTGGTGAAAAAGCTCTGGAGAATAACAACAGAAGAGGTGCAAGTATTAAAGTTTTAATAGATTGTAAACTCTTAAGACTCAAGAAGCTGTTTTATCAATCAATAGTTTAAGATGTTATTGCAATGTAGAAGATTTAAGCACTTGAATTCCTAAAAACTATTGATATTCTGAAGGGATGGTCCCTAATTAAACTCTAAAACCTAAATAAAGAGCTAACTGAAAAGAACTACGCCCCAGGTAACATTGTTTATCAGTAAGGTGATGAGTCCTCTGTCTTTTACATAATAAAGAAAGGCTCAGTTGTTGTAGAAACCGTAATAGATATTGATGAGTACAACAGATATCCCATTGTAAGTGTTTAAATTATAAATTATTTGTAGGATATTAAAACTTGGGAAATAGTCAAGAAAACTAAGAGATTTAGGTATAAGATTTAAGAGTTGGGAAAGGCATCAATATTTGGACACAACGAACTGATACTCAAAGTCCCCAGACAAACAACAATTAAAGCTTTAGAAGAAACAACAATCCTTTATTTAAATAAAGAAGTCTTCGAGAATCAGAATGTCATTGAGGAACAAGATATGAAGCTTATCAAAGGCTAAGTATCACCGATAGATGTTGAAAAGATTGCACTGGCTGTACTTTCAATCAAGAACAATGCTAAACAAAGAACTGATGCAATACTAAACGCTACTTAGCTTAACCTACCAATAGATACTACAAGGGATTTTGGAATGCTTAACAGACACAAAAGCTAAATCTTCAGACTGAAAGCATGGCATGAAAAGATCAGAACAGTAATGGAAAGAAATAATTCCTTATCCAAGACTTCCTAAGCACCCAGAAAGAACTAAGATGATTTGCTTGATGACTCTGATGATGAAAATTAAAACTATCTTAATGAGGAACTTAAAAAGGTCAAAATCCTGAGAATCACTTAAAAGAAAATGAGAGTTAGTGGAAACGAATATATCAAACAACAAGATGTTTTAAATACGGAACTTAAGCATAGAGTAAGATTGGCTACTAATATTCTTGCCTCGGAATATTGACTGATTTCATACATAAATTTGAATATTTAGAATCTATAAACTCTATTTAAAATAAATTGGATAATTGAACTTTTAATTATAATAGATTTTTGGATGATGGGGTTTTGGGGTTTTGGGGTTTTGGGG